TTTATCACGACAGGCATGTTATTGATCCTGAGCTCACTCACCTCAGCTTGCTGTTGGCTTTGGGGTAACTGAGGGAAGAGGTCCTCCCGCTCAGTGCCGCTGGGGTTTTAATGACAGATTCCAGAGAGGGGCTTTTTCTCATCAGGCTGGTGGGTTTCATCTCGTCATTTGACCCTGTCAGCTTGTCTGGAATAAGAAGTTCAAGACGATAACACAGATATTTAATATGTCTCATAGGAGCTTAGAACCTCTTATTTAATGCCAATTATGTTTTTTCTGGAAACCTGAAACCACTATTTAAAAAGAGCAAACAATGTTCCTAAGAATTATCACATATATTAGAAGGAGTAAAAGTTACCACTAAACCAGATAAAAACCCATACTATCTTAATAGGAGGAAATGGGAAAAAAAACAACTTAAGAGCTGTTTCACTACCAGTCTCTGGAAAATATGATTAAGAGCCCCAGAATCATTCCATATATGATAAAAATCTTGTAAAAACAGAAATGTGCATTAACAAGAGGCACAGAGTTGCAGGGGAACAGAACAAGCTGCCCAGACATGTTGTTGAAGCCGACACCCAGGCTTCTTTCAGGAAATGGCGGGATGAGATCCGTGGATCAGTAAGCCGCCAAATGGGCTCCATGGGCTGAACAGCGCCTGTGGATTTGTATTTGTGCCACCTGGCAACAAACATTTTTCTGCCTGCTACAGGTTTTTCACAGGTTGAGGGTAGATGATTTTAAAAAATATATTTTTCTTAATCGTTAAAATAAGTAACCGGTGCTAAAATACTTGCCTCATTATGCCATCACAATGCCTCTTTAGGTAATTTACTGTATGTCATGCATGAAGCTCTCTTCAATTAATTAGTCATTTATTCAGTCATTAGTCAACCCTGGCGTTCCTGGCCAAATTTTCCATTGGCCTTTACCAATCATGGCCTCCTAATAATCCCCATCTATAAACTGGCTTCATTACTCTGCTCTCCTCCCCACTGAGAGCTGGTGTGTGGGGAGCGTTCTGGCGCACTATGGCTGCTGTCGCATCATCCAGGTGGGGCTGCACACTGGTGGTGGTGGAGGGGAGTCCCCATTACCTTACGCTATATAAGTGTAAGCAATTATTATTATTATTAGTAGTAGTACTAGTCTTTTTGGCTGTGCC